CATATAACCCCCTCCCTGGGGGACAGACAACAGAAAAGTGGGTGAAGGGAGGCAGACAGTGTAAGACATGACAAAATAATAATAACTTATAAATAATTAAGGTTTCGAGGGAGGTGGGTAGGAGGGAGGAGAAAAATGAGGAGCTGATACCAAGGGCTCAAGAAAGAAAATGTTTTGAGAATGATGATGGCAACAAATGTACAAATGTGCTTGACACAATGGATTTATACATGAATTGTGATAAGAATTGTATGAGCCCCCAATAAAATGATTCAAAAAAAGAGAACGAAATACCATTAGTATAGCTGCCAGTAGCTGAGCAGCATTCAAGCCACCACAGCACAGCGTACTGACAGATGAATGGTGGGAAGTGTGCAATAGTCCACAATACAGTGGTGGCTAACTGACAGACTGAACAAATATCTGGTTCAAATTTGACAAATGCATGCACTGGATACTAGGTGATTTTGCAAAGACTGAAATCCATGTGAATACTGGAAAACTCAAAATACCAGTGTCTTAAATAAAATGGAAAGAACCTGAGTGGTATAAGCTATTTGCAGCTGGCTACTAAACAAAAGGTTGATGATTCAAACCCCCCCAGCAGCTCTGTGAAAGAAAGAACTGGTGAATTGCTTTAGTAAAGATTACAGCCAAGAAAGCCCCATGGAAGCAGTTCTATACTATAACCTATGGGGCCTTACGGTGTCTTCATGAGTCAGGGTCTGACTCCGCAGCAACTAACAACAAAGGAGAATTTTTTTCCCTCTCAAGGAAAAGAAATCCAGAGGTAGTCATTTACATAGGGCTTTATGATCCCCAAGACTTGGCTACTTTGAGTTCATGGCTTATTCTATTTTTGATGCTCTGCCTAACTCACTACATGGTTTGAATCTCATGATGTAACATGGCAGTTAAAACTGACCACTTTCCACAAGCCATAATGGACAATGCCAATTGACAGCTTATGGGCCAGAACTTAATCACATGACGCTAGCTTCAAGGAATGTAGAGCTGTGTATGAGAGGGCTTCAAAAGGTTCACGGCAGTATGAGGATATTTGTACATGGGTACCTTTGCTGCAAATATAGGCATGGATGTGGTGAAGCTTACCGAGGAAGTTACGAAAACTTCTTAGACAAACACCTTGAGGGAATGAGTCCATGGGCCCAGGGTGGGGGTGGGGGGGGCAAGGCCAACACAGTCCACAAAAACAAGAGAGATTGTATTCAGGGGCATAGCAACTAGCAATCTGTACCATACTAGAAAAACATCATGGGGGGAAAAGGGCAGGCTATTAAGGAGTGTTTAAGGCACTGGTTAAACGTGTATTATTTTTTATCCCCAATATTGTCCTTTCCCAAACATGCCCCTGCATTTAGCTTCCTGCCGTAATTTCTATGAGTATGGCCACTGGGAGGACTCTCATTCTCTGTCCCCAACTTGACAGCACCAACTATTTGCCTGTTGCCATCCTGCTCATCCTTTAAGTCTCATCTCAAATACTGTACTGGCCACAGAGCTATTCCTGCCGCTCTAAAGCAGGGGGGTCAAACTGGCAGCCCATGGGCCGCATGTGGCCCCCAAGGTAATTTTCTGTGGCCCACGATGCTCTGAAATAAAATGTAACAAGGGAATTGTGCGTACGGCATTGCCTTGATCTCCCCTAAGTGCTACTTTTTCCCTAACAATTGTTTCTCTTTTTCAGTTTATTTCAGAGCATCGTGGGCCACAAAAAACTACCTAAGGGGCAGCGTGCGGCCCACGGGCTACCAGTTTGACTCCCCTGCTCTAAAGGAATAGAGCGTATCCCAATAAAGGGCTCGACCTCATTTCAGGTTCCTCTCTTGAGTCTTGAATTTCATCTTGCACAATGCTCTCTTAGGTCGTTCGTGGAGCTGTGTAGCAGCATGTACGTTTTCTAACGGGTGGGCTGGCGCCTTTCTCTGTTCCACTGTAGGCAAAACAATAACTATCTGCGAATTGCAACCAATATTTACAGCAGAATCTATGTGAAAGAAGAATCATAATGCCTTCATATGCTTTTAAGGGTTGTGCTAATGTAACAAGGGCAATTTCCTAAATATAAACTAATTTCAAAGCATTTGATCATTGATGATACTGCAAAGCCAGTGATTAACGCCTTCGGTTGTTAACAACAGGTAGGACCCACCAGCCTCCCACAGGAAAAAGACATGACAGTCTGCTTCTATAAAGATTTACAGTCTTGGGAACCAAGTTGGTTCTATAGGGTGGTGGGAGTGACATGAGACCCGCGGCTGCAAGCAGTGGGTTAATTTGGAGCAGCTTGCTTTGCTGAACAATTCTTGGTCGCTGCTTAAAAGCTTTTGCCAAAATAAATAAATAAATAAAACCATTAAAACGTTTAAAAATAAATAAGCCTACAATAATAATATCAGCTAACACGTAATGAATGCTCTCAGAACAACAAAAAGCCAAAGGACGTTGAGGATTTATTTCAGAGATGAGAGTGCTGCTGTGTGCGTTTCAGAGAATTTGACATAGGATACTGGAATCATCTGCCTTAAATTGCTACAATGGGAATATTGCTTTCTTCGGTTTTAGACTTTAATGCCTGGAAGTTTACATATTAACTCCGAAACAAATACTTGGTTTAACTGGCAGAATGGCATTTACTTGTACTGAATTGTTGATATGGCAAGACGGTTCACAAAAAATTTTTTAAAGTCATATACCTAAATTGAACCCTTCAATGATTTTCCAGATTACGATTCTAAAAGTTTGCGTGAGCAGTTTTATTTTTTAAAGTGCCAAAAACAACTTTCGGCCTCCCCGTCGGGGAATCGAACCCCGGTCTCCCGCGTGACAGGCGGGGATACTTACCACTATACTAACGAGGAATTGCACAGGAAAAATGCTCACAATAAGTCTCTTATGTTTCCATCTGGCACAGTCACCACTATATGTAATATTTGTCCTGCTTTTGTTGCCACTGCAGTTTCGGGCGAAGTTAAATAAATAAAAACGAAGAGGGAAACATTCAGCAAGACTTTCCTGTTCCATTTATCATTCCCTTTAGTGCGTACACTCACACATGCACACAAAACACACACACACACACACATACACTCCCTCACTCCCAGGTCGCAAAGCGTACGTCTTGTCGCGCTGCACCACGGGATTTGTAGTTCTTCCCATCCCATTCCCCCCTCGCCCCTGACATTAAGAAACTTCCTTTCCCAGAGGGCATCGCAAACCCCTGTGCCTGTCTTTACCCCTCTCCCTGCGGTCTCCCTCAGTCGAGTAGTCTGGCAGCCAAGTTGGTTGGTGGCTCAGCGTGCCACGGTCCTGCCAGAGCCATGCCGGAGGTCGTGGATTCGTGCTCTTTAGCCTCTCCGGCTTCTGTCTGCCGGACCAAGCACCTGCATCTGCGCTGCAGCGTCGACTTTGCTCGCCGGACGCTGACCGGGACCGCCTCGCTCACTGTCGAGGCTCAGGAGGACAATCTGCGCAGCCTGGTAAGGTGGGGCGCACACCCCGTGCCTCGTCTCCCGGGCCGCCTGCCCGCCGCGCCTCGCCCCGTCTCCGAAGGCCCACGCTCTCCTTGGTGCCGCTCCTCGCCGCCGAGTCCGGGTTCTGCGCCGTCTTCAAACCCCTCTGAGCGAGCACCTTCTTCGCCACTCCAGTCTTCTTCACCTCTTCCCCGCTCCGGTACTTAGACGCCACTCCTCCCTCGTAACCCGTGCCCAGGCCTTTAGCCCACCCTGGACCCTCATCCAAGCCTCGCCCCGCACCAGCCTCCAGGTTTCAATTTTGTTCCAAACCTCCTTCACCCTAGAATCCTGGTTCCCGGGGCCAGCCTCACCGTGGCCTCGTTTCCTCGGGCCGCAGCCCAGACCCCCTCCTCGGGCTCAGCCCCCTGCGCGCTCCTTCTTTTCAATCAGCAGTTTCATCCAAGCCCCAGACCCTACATCGTGCTTGTCCCGGACGCTCACGCCCCTCCCGTCCCCTCCCAGGCACCTAGAAGTCGGCCCGCCAAGTCTGCGGAAAACGGGTCTCCCTGGGCTCGGCGCGGAGCCAGGCGTCCTCCCCTGGGAATCCTCACCCCAAAGCCCTAGTGCTTCCAGCCGCTGCCTTCTCTAAGCCAGGCTGCAACGCTTTCCTACCTTTACCTTTTAATCTCGACGATTTAAGGGCTAGTGGGCCATCCAAGAGGCGCTCTGGGGACGCATCGGTGAGGCACTTGGCTCCTAACTTCAAGGTGGGCCGATCCAACCTCGTAAAAAGATGTGGAAATGTGCTTCCTAAGAATGAACGAACTTGGAGACCTGTGTGGTAACGACCCTGCCCCTCTGTGATCGCTTTGTATCTGAATAGACTTGAGAGGTCAAGGGTGTTTGGTTTTCTGAGGACCCAAGCTTTCTCAACACCATTCATTAGTAACTGGTGCCAAGAAGCAAGCCCTTAGTGTGCTTCTTGGAAAGTAATCCGTCTACAAGCTCCCCAGCCCTGTAAATAATTGGGTATTTGGAATGTGATTCGGTTAGGCTATGTGCACCACATAGCCTGCTTTTTTAGCATTCTTATCCAAATCATCCGATGGTATTTGGATTGCACCTCTCAGCCGAACTCCTGAGGGGAAGAAGTGAATGAGGCAAATAACAAGACCAACACTCTTTGGCCTCCTCCTGCAATCAGGAAGAGGTGATTGTTAAGCGGTCAGTGTAGCATGGTGATAAGCACTGAACCTCAGCAGTCAGCTATCAGATCAGGTATGTGGTAGCCTTGGCCTCGGTAACAAGTGGTGTCAAGTAATTGCACAACGTAATAAGTATAGTTAAGAATTGGTGACTCACCCACCTGTTTTCTCATTCCTACAAAGGATCTATATGTGGAAGTCAGTAATGTGAGTGATAGCACATAATTTTATTACTGTGACCTTTACATTTTATTCCACTAATTCTGATGTGGAAGCTGGACCAACCCCTCTAGTAGTCAGCAAAAGTACTATCAGAAGGAAATGAAAGTTCTATAAGCAAGAAAGTAAATGTGTTCACTGGACAGGTGGATTGTACTTTGGTCCACCTGAAGGGCCATGCGTTTATTGCAGTGGCTGCTTTGCCTGGGCAGAGCTGAAATAAAGGGCCATCCCAAAGCAAACTTTCCTTACATTGTCACTGTTTAGCATGACCTGCGCTCCCACCTGTTGTGTAAAAATAAAAGCTGTACCTCTTCCATGAATAAGCAACAACCAGGATGCTTAATTTTTTTTAAATGAATGTCCATTCAGTGTCCTTTTTACTCCAGAAACCTTGTGTGTTGCTGATCTACCCTCCAAAATTACAATTTCTCATTGTCATGTCTATTTAATAAATTAGAGCCTGGAATTAGGATATTCTATTTTATATGAGAAATAACTTTTTTTTTAGTACAAAGCAGTGTTTGTTTAAAATCACGTGCTTTTTTTGTATGACGCTAACCCACGACCAAGAACTTGGTTTTATTTCATTGTGTTTATTTAGCTAGTTTTTTTGCACTAGAGTGTGGGTTCTTACATTTAGGGGCTCTTTGTATCTCTTAGTAATGTCTTGGTGACATTTTTTGAGCATCTCTCTTAAGATTACCTTATGTATCATACTGGAGTCCTGGTGGCATAGTGGTTATGAGTTGCGTTGCTAACCACAAGGTCAACAGTTTAAAACCACCAGCTGTTCCATGGGAGTAAGATGAGACTTTCTACTCCAATAAAGAGGTTCAGCTTTGGAAACTCATTGGGGCAGTTCTACCCCCGTCCTATGAGGGTGCTATGAGTCAGAATTAACTCTGAGGCAGTGGCTTAAAAAAATTACATTATGGAAAGTGCATTCGGTTTATACTGGTCCTTCTGGCCATAATTCCTTCTGTGATATATAATAATTCTGGATTCTCTGCCAATGGCCATAATCCCATTTTAGAGGGTGTTTGCTACTTTACTAATGGACAAGATTAGGATGGATTAAGGCCTGCATTTGGTAGAGGCAGAAAGATGGTGCTTTCTTCTCTCGTAAAGATTTATAATCTAGGAAAACCACAGGGGCAGGTCTACTCAATTCTGTGGGGTCACTATGGCCCCTTCCTGCCCTTGGGATTTTGGATTGAGTAACAACCATGAGACATTTTCTTAAAGCTTCATGAGTTTTGTGCAAGACAGTGAAGGAATATACTTAAGGGAGGAGTGAGGGAGAAATGTAGCTTAATAACATCTTGGAAAAGTTGGACATTGGGGACATCTTTAATCTCCTACTCCTTCAGACTAGTCTGGTATTAATTTCTTCTAAAGAAATTTTCACCAGAGAAGGTAATTTTCTCTACTCAAGTCTAACTGGTGTTCACACATCACCACACCATGAAAGCAAATGGACTGGTGTTTGGCCAAACAGCTGGAAGCATAGCTTCAACAAGTTGACACAAAAGCCAAGATTTCAAACAGATGGAGATGTAAGGGCTGTGAGTCAGCAGAGGGCAACTCGACTGGACAGACAAAGACCTTTTGAGTAGAACTGCTTTTCAGCTGTAGAGGAGCACAGAGCAGGTAAAGGAAGGGGAGTGAGCAATGAGGCAGTGAAAGCAGCAGCCACAGACTGCGCTTGGAGTTTAAGGACGGGAAAAAAAAAAAACAAACTGATAGAGACCCTATAGCGCCAAGAAGAACTACTCTTTGGGATTTCCAAGGCTGTAAATCTTGATGGGCGCAGGTAGCCCTATCTTTCTCCCACAGAGCTGGTGGTCTTGAACAGATGACCTTGTGGTTTAGCAGCCCCGTTTGTAACTCAGTACACTACCAGGGATCCTTGATTTTAAGAAAGGAAGGAGGAAAAATAGGATAATTGTCTAAATGGGCAGGAGAATGGAGTAAAGTTTTAAAGCACTGTATATACTCCTGTATAAGCCGAGTTTTTCAGCACATTTTTAATACAGTTTTTATGGTAAAATTAAGTGCCTCAGCGGATACTCGGGTGGGCATATACTCGAGTATATACGGTAATGTGCCAGCCTTGTTCGGGTGTATTTGAAAACAGCCCTGTGGCACTGGATCAAAGATGAGTTGAGGGATGATGGGAGGGTTTAGATGAGGATCGTGGGGATGGAGAGCATTCAGAGACTCTTGCTGTCACGACATTGCTGCTTAAAACAATTGTCCTTAACCAAGTGCTCAAGCAAGTAGATAACGGTTCTCCAACCCTTCATAGTTCGTTTGGACAGTGCTGCCAAATTCTGTTGGGCTTTTTCTAGATGTATATATGCTTAATTGATTCAGAGTACCAAGGTCTGTCTTAACTTTGACTATGTGTCAGTTTGTAACATCTGGGCAATATGAATTCGGGGTGGGGTTGGGGGGATATATGGTAAGATATATTAAGGGATAAGGGTGAAAGGCATTTAAGTGATAGGTGAGTTTGTTAAAACCAGAGAATTTACACTTTTTAAGAGTCAGGCACAAAGAGGTTTTAATTTGGATTTAGGCTTTGCTCCAAGCTCAGCATTTGCGTGACTATCTGGTGCTGCAGAAGACAGGCCAGGTAATCTGCTTCCTAGAGATCACACCTCTGGAAACCAGTGGAGCAGGACTACCTACTATGCACACCCAGGGCCTCCATCAGTTGGAATTAACTTTACAGCACCTGACAGCAAATAACTTACAATATATGTGTAATAGATAATCTAACAATATATATGCAAATCTTAAGACTCAATTTTCAGGAAGACCTGAGAGGCACCTACAGCCACTGTTTGACTCCTTCAATTCCTGGTACTTCCTTCTGTAGTTTACTCTCCATAGCAACCAGTTGTCTTCTCCAGTCACCGCGGTTAACTAATCTTGATTTTCCCTAGTAGCTGGAACCATTCTCATCGTTTAAAAATACTCATTTAATTGTAGACTTTGGATACAAAAGACCTTACAATAGAAAAAGTGGTCATCAATGGACAAGAAGTAAAATACACTCTTGGAGAAAGACAGAGTTACAAAGGATCGCCAATGGAAATCTTCCTCCCGGTTCCTCTGAGCAAGTATGAATGCTACCTTTCTCTTTTAGAGTTGAATAATGGGGGCAATGTATTTTTAATTATTTAAATATTTTTTTCTTGCACATGTGTGTGTGAATTGTGAGTACATGTAGTGATTGGTACACTGCTCCCATGGAACTTTTGTTCAGGTGAAACTTATACAGTGAATATTATATGTTCTAAAAGGATGCTTGGTGGAGCAGTGGGTACATGCTTGGCTGCTAACCAAAAGGTCAGTGGTTTGAACCCAGAAGCTGCTCCGTGGGAGGAAGATAGGGCCGTCAGCTTCTAAAAAGATTGACAGCCTTGAACACCCTTGGAGGCAGTTCTGCTCCGTTCTGCAGGGTGGTTCTGCGTTGGGATTGATTTCATGGCAACGTTTTGTTTTTTAAGATAGAAAATACATTCACTAGGTAAAATACTCAAGACTTGGACTTTACTTTTTATAGCTGCTACTTTTTACATAACCTTTTTTTTTACTAACAACTACCGTGGTCATGGTGCATGCCTCTTAAGCAGCCTTCTCAAATCACCTGGGAAACTTTGCCCACTTTTATTAAAGGAATGACAACAATGGCAAAACATAGAATCATAGATGTGCCACTCTTGGGATGAGCGCTTTAGATGCATTCTATGTAAAGCTACGGCAGCTCTTTGGGGTGTGATCTACAATTCACAAATGAGGAAAGTCAGAACAATGACGCCTCGAGAAATTGGTTGCCACAATTGTCATGTGGAGAGTATATCGTTCCTCGGGCTTACCGAAGAAAGGGGAAGTTGGAGAACCCTTGGCCTAGAACAAGGGTGAACTACCTCTCCCTTTCAGTGGCCAGTGTTTCCTGCCGTCTCGCCTCCTTTAGTAAAGGGACAGGAAATCCCCCAGCACAATGTAGGAGGTAGGTGAGACTAGCCCCGTTCTGCAGAGGAAGGCACTGTGGCTTGGGAAGATCAGATGATTTGCCCATGTTCACAGCGCCTGTAAGTGCTATTAGGAGGATGGCAGCTCGTCACTACTGCCTCGTCAGTGCTTCTCAAACCATCCAGGGTGAAGGAGCAGTTTTTATTTCCAACCTCAGACTGATATTTTTATAAAAGATAATGGAAATGAAAAATAAGCGATTTTTAAAGAGAAACCATTGGAAGCATGTTACTTTTAGATTGAACAGGCACAAACTTGAAGTTAAAAGTTGCTAACTGGTTACACGCAGTTTTAACGTAATCTCGTTGCTGGCTGGGAGCAGACCAGCTGAGGCCGTCGAGGATCTATTCTCTCTCTCTTCCACCGTCAAGAAGATAAGTCACACAGTGGGGTATTGACTCAATTTAGTTCCTGTTATGGATTCCCTAGCAGTTGGCATGGCAGATCAACTATAGTATTGCTTATTTTATGCTTCTGATGTATTATGCATGCAAATTGTAAGTATCTTTCAATTGTCCCTGAAGATGGCTTTATATCCTAGTAACCTATTTGTTTGTTGCATATAGAAATCAAGAAGTCGTGATAGAAATTAATTTTGAGACCTCTCCAAAATCGACTGCTCTTCAGTGGCTCACTCCTGAACAAACTTCTGGGAAGGAACACCCGTATCTCTTTAGTCAGTGCCAGGTAAAAAGGAGTGATTTATTGTACAGAAAACCGATCATAGAGTTTCGTGAAGCAAAATGGACAGTGGTCTTACGGGTATGTGGGTCTTGCAGGGTTTTAATGCATCCTGTGTTATAAATAAATACTTACATATTAGTATTAACATGTTAACATATGGCATTAAAAAATAAGTTTCTTTCACTTGGGCTACGTAGGTTGGACCATCTAGGGCATGGTGTGTAACTTAATTGTATTTATAGTACCAGCAGCTAGTACAGACCTGGCATAGAGTGGGCACTCAAAAAGGTCATAAATTGAAAAGGGGAAAAAAATGACTAAAACAGAATAGGATTTTTTTATGAAAAAATGCTAACAGTAAACAAGTGGGAAATGAAAGATCCTTCTTCCCTGCCTTCTCCTGAGACTATTACCCCAAGGAAAGCACCATTGCGGTTGATGTATTGCTTTTCCAGCTGTTTCCTTACAGATTTACAAATGACACCTTCCATAAACATTAAGTACATCCTTAAAATGATAGTTTAAACCATTTTCACTTCACCTGAAAAACTACGTAATCAGAGGCCATCAGACTCAACTGGATGGCAGTGGGTTAGGTGTGTATAATAAGGATACTAAGGATCAGACCATTTTCTGAGGAGGAAACCACTAGTTTTGCTAATAATAGTTATTCGCAATGAAAGAAACGCCCTGCATTAAACGTTCACTAAATCTCCAAGTATTATGCCAACTGACTTGCACGTGCAGTCCTTCCCGTATCCATATTCGTGTGTGGTAGATATTATAGTAGACTTTTAAAAAGAACATACCCAAGAATATTACTGCCATCGGAATGCTTTCTTACTGAATTTATGACAGCAGAGCTCTTTCTGTTTTTCCCTCCCCTTGTAGGCCATCCACTGCAGAGCCATCCTTCCCTGCCAGGACACTCCTTCTGTGAAGTTAACCTACAGCGCAGAGGTAACTGCCACCGAATTACTGACCCCTACAAAGGCATGTGGCATCATTGATAGGCAGAGAATGTTAAGTTTTTTCAGCTAGTGGTATTTTACTTCGGTAAACAAGAGGCCGTGGGCCTCGTTGTAGGATGCGGTCTTGAACACAGGAACCTTGGTAGTGTCGTGGTTGTGCATTGAGCTGCTAACCACAGGTTAGCAGTTTGAATCCACCAGTTGCTCCTGCGGAGAAAGATGAGGCTTTCTATTCCTGTCAAGAATGACAGTCTCGGAAACACAAGGGCAGGTCTGCTTACAGAGTTGCTGGGACCAGTCAGATTTAACTAGATGGCAGTGGGTTTGGGTTTGGGTTTGGTCTAGAACACTGTAAGGGTAAGAAAAGGAAAAGGGTTAAGAACAACAACGAGGTAATTTTATGTACGTATTTTAAGGTACATAAAACCTTCTGTTTGTAACGACATTGCTCTTCTTCTCCATTAGGTGTCTGTTCCTAAAGAACTGGTGGCACTTATGAGCGCCATTCGTGATGGGGAGGCGCCGCACCCGAAAGACCCAAGCCGGAAGATCTTCCGATTCAGTCAGAAAGTAAGGCAGCAGGGCATCGGCTTTTGTTTCAGTTGGTCATAAACTAAAGTAGTCTGAATTTATCCAGAGGAAAGCTGCTCTAGAGTATTTCAGAGTTTTTGAAAAACAGCTTTTGGCTTTGTTTTGTTTTTTGTTCTTTTATACTTTTTAAAGTTTTTTTTTTTTAAACAAGTGTCGTAGTTGGAGTACTGACTTCATTTCCCCCTCTTCACTCTAGTCTGTAGCAAGCTTCTGCTTGTCTAAGTTACCCTTTCACCTGCCCAGACTTGCAGGAATGCCACTGGGCAGAGATAACAAATGGAAGACTGGTCTCCTGTAATCTTTCCTACAATCCTTTCAGTTAAAGGTTCCATGTAGCCGGTAACTGTACTTGTATCTTTACTTAAGACGTGTGTGTGTGTGCGCACGCGTGCATATGCATGTTCAGGACAGTATGTATCTTTTTGGATTCATCGTAACAGAACACCAATGTGAACCACAGTGGGCAATTCCACTCCCACTTAGCTTCTTAAAACCCAAGAAAATGAGTTCCAGGCTCCCAGAAGCTCCTGTTGCCAGGGAGATGTTTCAAACTTACAGTGACCCCAAAGAAAGAGTTGACTTGCTCCCTGGAGTTTCTGAGACAGTAATCTATGTGGGAGCAGAAAGCTTTATCTCTTTTTGAGCTTGTGGGTTCAAACTGCTGACCTTGCGGTCAGCGGCCCAACTTACAGTCCACTGCGCTAGTCTTGGGCTGCTTTCCCATAACCTCCAAAGCTCACTGTCACGAAGTCACTTCTGACTCCCATAGGACAGAATAGAGCCGTCCCTGTGGGTTTCTGAGACTGTAACACTTTACCAAAGTAGAAAGCCTCATCTTTCTCCCTAGGAGCTCTGATGGTTTCAAACTGCAAACCTTGTGTATTCCACCTGGGCTCCTTTTCCATAATTTAGGCATTTGCTGAACATTGCTGAACTTTGTGTATTGCTAGAATATATACCAGTAGTGTGTTAACGCGGGGCCCTGGCAGTATAATGAGTTTTGCATTCCTTAAGCTGCTAACCTTAAGGTCCGCAGTTCAAAATCCACCAGCTGCCCTGTGGGAAAAGATGAGGTTTCTACTCTCATTCGAGAGTTACAGCCACAGAAACCCACAGGGGCAGTTCTGCCCTCTCCCGTAGGCCACTCGGCTCCAGAATTGGCTTGATGGCCGGAAGCTTGGCTTGAACTTGGAATGTTTTAAAACCTAAGGAAAAGAACAAAACCACAGTTGCCTCCTTCTAGGCTAATTTGTGAGAAGTGCTTTAAATGAACCTTGTAATTCTGTGTGCAGTCATATTTTTCCAATACTGGGCTTTTTCCTTTCCTGGTAGAATAAAACAGGTAAATGTTTTGAGATGTTTTACTTGAACTATTTGTGCTCTTACACATGAGACCTATTTGGGAAGAGCAACAGGAAAGTCATGAATACCAATATTTGGAGACCTGGCAGGGGATGGACTGCATTTTGAATTGAATTGTTTTATTCTATAAGCTTTGTAAGCACTGATAGGAGCATGTGTGTGTTTCTTGGCCCCTCTAGGTTCCCATACCCTGCTACCTGATTGCTTTAGTTGTTGGAGCTTTGGAAAGCAGGTGAGTGTTTGAGCACCTCATCTAGATATTCTACACGATATCAATGGAGACAAGATAGATACTCGGCATGACGTGCTTGGTCAAGTAGAGAGAGAGCCCTCTACGAGATGGATTGACTGAGTGGCTGCTACAACGGCCTCCAACAGAAGTAGTGAGGAGGGAACAGGACTGGACAGTGCTTTGTACACAGGGAGTCGGCGCATACTCGATGCTGGCACCCACCAGCAACAGCCACACATAGATTTTGCTTAATACCAAGATATTCAATTTTAATTTGAAAAACATTCCAATATCTAAAATATAAGCCAAATTAAATGTAAAAATATCTGTTAATCACCCCACACAGTGTTGTGGAATGAACATAGTTTTTGCTGCTAGTTAAAGATCCGCATTCTGACATAAGCTTAAGCAGGTCACTTCTTGGGCCTTCTGTTTCTCGTCCTCCACGTTAACATGGTTCTGCCTTTACTCAAGGTGGTTAATGAGAGACAAATGAAAGGAAGTGTTTAGTTAATGTTCCCTTCCTTTTAGAATTTTCATTTGTTCTTCTGTCTAAATGACTGAAACTGAGCAATGTCTATAATCACATTTTTAAATTGCCGGAGTTGGGGCTCTGGTAGACAAATTGGGCAAACAGATTCAGATTCCAACTTCAGCAGTTAACTCAATACATCCTCGGACAACTCAGGAACCGCTTGGAAAAACAGAAATAATAATATGTATGTAAGAGGAATGTTGTAAAGGTTAACAGATCTTGCATATTTGAAGCACCTAGCTTCCTTAGCAACAGCAGCTGACAAGCCAAGTCCAGGGCATTAGTTCACTGCATCCTCACAGCAACTCTACAGAATATATACTATTATTTTTTTTCTATATTCTACCATTGAAGAAACCGATGCTCAGTAAGTTTTACTAACTTTCTCAATCACACAGCGGGGAAGTGGCAGAGCCAGTCTTTGGTCCACAGCAATACCTCTCCTCAGCCAGCAGCCATGTCTGTCTCAGCCCCTCAGCCACAGGGTCCTGGGGCCCCGTCTCCGTGTCTGGGCCAGGAAGTCTTGGCGCTGCTCTGTTTCATGGTCTCCTTGCCTTGGCTTCTGGTCTCGGCATGCCATGGCCCCTGTAGCTCTGCCACTTCAGTCATGATTTTGAATGTGTTCTACTGGCTGCTCTTCCTTGATGGTCCTTGATGAATTCTCTGTTTTTCTGGGGTGCTTCGTTTTTCTAGCCAAGGGCATAGCAACTAAATCTGCGCAGTTCCCTCTACTAGTGTTTCACATACCCTATTTGCGTGGTCCCAACCAATCATTTGGTGGGAGCTAGAGACTTGGAGAGAAGAGCTGTATTACAAAATGTCACTTCGCCACACCATCTGACTTCAGAACCCAGGCAGCGTAGGCTTGTGCTGTCCAGGGCAGCCACCAACCTACCGCAGGAAGCTCCGAGCGCTTGAAACAGGCTAATCCACAGGGATGGGCTGTGGCATGGAAAATGCTCACTACATTTCTAGAGACTTAGTAAGGAGAGTGAGAAATGTCAGTAAGAATACTTGGGTTGATGACATGTTGAAATGATCATGTTTTTGCCATCTCAAATTGCTTTTCCAAAAGGATTTCATGTTTTGTTTTTAAATGTGGCACTAGACCATTTAAAAATAGCCTGTGCGGCTCACATTTGTGGCTGTCAGTAAGTTCACATTGGATGGCAATGAGGAAAGCTACCACTCAGTGGGTCCTCAGTGGCTTGGCATCACTGGGTGTTGGTTAGAAATGCAAATCTTGGGTCCTCTCCAAGACCTACGCACACAAATGGGCCTTGTAGCAAGTGCCCCAGGGAAGGGATCGCTGCTCTGGACGTCTCTGGCTCTCTGGGACCGGATTCCACGGCAGTCTGCTCATCTGAGGGGTGGAGCCCCTGGTGGTGCAGACTGATAGGCTCTCGCCCATGAGCCAAGCCTACCCAGAGGCACCTTGGAAGACTAGCCTGGCAGTCTGCTAGTCCCACATGTCACAGTCTTGGGCAGTACTCCTCTGCATACATCAGGTTGCCATGAGTCGGAATCCACTTGGTGGGAACGGCTAATAGCAGCAACACCATATAAATGACACATAGTTCTGGTTGAAGCCTCTGTGGCTGGGCTTCCACAGTTTGAATCGAGGGGAGAAACCAGCGCCCCAGAGGTTGGGCCAGAGCCAGTAAGCTGACTGTGGGAGTGCTTTATATTTCAGTTTCCCTTTGGCCCAGAATGTGCCTGCCTTTCAAACAGCAGGCTAACAGCATAGAAGCGGTTTACCTTCATTCCTTTGCCAGACCCACTGTCATTGTGTTAGGTGTGGTGGGCTAGAGAAACAAACCCCCTGACACCCAGACATGTTTAAGCAAGTTTCATCTCAAGAAGTAGTTAACTGTCAAGAAAGCCCAGTCCAACTCATGTCCATAAGTGGTCCACTAGTCCGACACTAGTCCATAAGCCCCTCTTCAGCCACCTGCAATGATGCAGAATGCAGGAATATCACAGGCTGGTGGGTGCAGTCTTGGTGGATCCAATGATAGTAGATGCATCACAGGGTTCTGGCAGCAATTGGGGTCAACCTGCAGAAAGATGAAGGCAGGGGGTATTCCCTAGGCCCTCTTTATAAGAAGGCTCCATCCACATGGAGGCACCATCTGGCTGTGACTTGATGTGACAGGTTGTATCCCACCCCTACACTTTCATATCTTCAAGTTGACACAGAACTATGTAACTACCATAGTCTTTGAGTGATTCCAACCCAGCAACTCTCTAGGACAGACTAGACCTGCTTCGTGGAGTCTCCAAGAGTGGAAATCTTTATGGCAGTACCCAGCTTCATCTTTGTCCCATGAAGTAAGTGAGTGAGTGGTGAGTTTGAACCATGGACCTAATGGTTAGCAGCCCAGTGCTTATCCCACAGTGACTACAGGGCTCCCTCCCCTTTCCCACAAGCACCTGGTAAATGACACTGCTACTGCATGGGTTTGTGCACCGTACTTTAAATCCTTCCTGGAATCAAGTGAGTACGTTGGGTTGAATTTCCATTTTATTAACCAGTTTAATTTTATTTTGCAGGCAAATTGGCCCAAGAACATTGGTATGGTCTGAGAAAGAGCAGATAGAGAAGTGTGCTTATGAGTTTTCGGAGGTTGGTATTGACCCTTTTAAAACAATTGTGGTAGATATACATTTCAGATTTTGAGTGACTGAAATAGTTTCAAATGATGCAGCAAAAGAATAAAATATCTAACGTACTAGGTAACATTGTCATTCATAATATGCACTTCTAGTAAGAACAGATTGTTCTATCATTTTGTCCTGTTGTGGCCTTTTTGTTGTGATGCTGGAAGCCCTGTAACTAGTATTTCAAATGCGAGCCGGGTTGCCTATGGTGAACCAGGTTTTAGTGTGGCTTCCATACTAAGACAGACTAGGAAGGCTACCCCCTTATGAAAGATTAGCTACTAAGAACCTCATGTATGTATAGCAGGGGAACATTATCTGATATAGTGCTGGAAGATGAGCCCCCCATATTCAAAGACACTTAGCATATAACTGGGGAAGGCAGTTTCCTCAAAGTAGAGTTTACCTTAATAGCATGGATGAAGTGAAAATTGAGGGATTTTAATTTGCTCGTGGGGCATAATTCACAATGAGAAGAAGCAAAGGTAAACATCCATTAATCAGAATGTGTAATGTACAAGATATGAATCTAGGGAAATTGGAGGTCATCAAAAATGAAATGGAACCCATAAAGATCATTATTTGGCTCATATTTAGTTAGTTGAAGCCATTTTGGGCCCAAGAACCGTGGCTTTTGTGCTAGGAGTGGCATTTTCAAGAGGAATGGTATCAACTTCATCATCAAAAAGAATACTTCAAGATCTGTGCTGAAATACCGGGCTGCCTGTGGTGTGATACCCATATGCCTGTAAAGAAGACCACGTAATGCAACTATTCAAATTTCTTCTCCAACCACAGTGCCAGTGATAAATAAATTGAAGAACTTTACTAACTTCTTCAGTCTGAAATGGATCAAACTTAACGATCACGATGCTTTAATTATTGTGGGTGATTGAAGTGCACAAGTTGAAAGCTAACAGGAAGGATTAATAGATGGGGAAAGAAAGGCCTTGGTGATACAAATGATCCTTGAGATCAAATGGGTAGAATTTTGCAAGACCAAAAGCCCACGAGAGCCAAGAATCCAATATATCCCATTTGCAGTTAGAGAACGTCTCTAGAACAGGTTTGACTCGTGTGACACTAATGACCAGAGTTGCGCAATGGCATCAAGAACATCATCATAAAGAAAGCAAACGGTCATAAGAGAAGAAGGAAAAGACAAACTTGGACGTAAGAAGAGACCTGAACGTTGCCTTTGAATCTGTAGAAGTTAAGGTGACTGGAAGAAATGAAGTAAAAGAGCTGAACAGAAAATGTTTCAGAGTGGCTCCTTAAGACAAAGTAAAGTATTAAAATGAAAGGTGCACATACCTGGAGTTCGAAAGGCAAAAAGGAAGAAAAAACACTGCTATGTCAAGCTGAAAGACTTGAAAAGAATTAGCAAATTTCAGTATTAAAGAATTCTATGGGCAAAATATTGAATGATGCAGGAATCAAAAGAAGATGCAAGGTACACTAAAACGAACTGGTCCACACTCAACCATTTCTGGAAGTAGCACATGATCGGAAATGGATGATCTTGAAGCTCAAAGCACACCTAAGGCCATGGTGAAAAACAAGTCTCCTGGAATTGACAGAATACCAATTGAGACGTTTTAACAAACCTATAATACAGCTACCTAGCCAACTAACTGGAAGACATCCATGTTTGTGCCCGTTCCAAAGAAAAGTGACCTAGAATATAGAAACTACCAAATAATGTCAATATCAAAATAAACTCTTAACAACAGTTACAGGAGTACATCCATAGGGAGCTGCCAGAAGGTCAAGTTGGAATCAGAAGTATACTTGGAATGAGGGATATCACTCATGATCCCAGATATCTTGACTTAAAGTAGAGAATACCAAAAAGATGTTTGCTTGTGTTTTCTTGACTGCAAAGGCATTTGACCATGTGGATCATAACAAATTATGGATACTATTGAGAATAATGGGAATTCCAAAATACCTAATTGTGTCCATGTGGAAGATACTGGTGTAATTAGACCAAGGGAATACTGAATGGTTTACAGTTAGCGCACATGTGGGTCAGAGTTGTAGACATTTGCCGTACTTACCAGTCTGTATGCTGAGCAGTAATTGAAGAAACTGAACTGTATGAAGAAGAACATGGCATGAGGATTGCAGGAAGGCTCATTGTCCTTGCAATCTACAGATGAGACAACCTTGCTTGCTCAAAGTAAAGAGGACTTAAAGCGCTTATCAATGAAGATCAAAGAAAGTAGCTTTCAGCGTGGTTTGTGCCTGAATATAAGGAAAACAGAAATCTTCACAGTGCCTTGAAAGTAGCAGTCAAGAAATCAAATCATTGGACAAGTCTGATGTAGAAGATCTCTTTCAAATGTTAGCAAAGATGTAACTTAAGGACTAAGGTACTCTTTACCAATCCATGGTCTTTTCAGTCACCTCATATGTATTTGAAAGTTGGAAAATAAGAAAGACCAGAGAAGAATTAATACATTAGAGTTAGGGTGTTTGCAAAGAATATTGAATAAGCTAAATCCAGACAGCAAAAGAACAAACTATCTTGGAGGGAGTACATCCAGAATGTTCTCAGAAGTGCAGTAGGTGAGACTTTAGCTCAGGTACTTTAGAGATGTCATCAGGAGGGACCAGTCCCTGGACATCATGCCAGGACGTCCAGAGAAAAGTGGAAGGCCTTCAAAGAGCTGGGTTGTAACACAGTGGCTGCAACAGTGGACTCAAACATAATGATTGATGGGGTAGAGTGGGCAGTCTTTCCCTCGTACATAGGGTGACCATAAATTGGAACCAGCAATAGCTAATGACAACAGCAATTCATAAACTTGATAGAAAGCAATCTATACTAGGGTGGAGGGAGGGTGAGGTGGAAAGGGGGAACCAATTGCAAGACTCTACATATAACCTCCTCCCAGGGGGACAGACAACAGAAAAGTGGGTGAAGGGAGACGTCGGACAGTGCAAGTTATGATGAAATAATTTTTAAATTATCAAGGGTTCATGGGGGGGGAGCGAGGAGGGAGGGGAAAAATAAGCTGAAGCCAGAGGCTTAAGTGGAGAGCAAATGTTTTGAGAATGATGAGGGCAGTGAATATACAAATGTGCTTTACACAATTGATGTATGTATGGATTATGATGAGTTGTATGAGCCCCTAAAAATTATTTTTTAAAAAAGAAATAAAGCAATCTATATAAGAAACTTATTGTGGTAATAATTAAGACATACTAATATATACACATTTATCTTTCAGACTGAATCAATGCTTCAGATTGCGGAAGATCTAGGAGGGCCGTACGTGTGGGGGCAATATGACCTACTGGTCCTACCGCCCTCCTTCCCTTACGGTGGCATGGAGAATCCTTGTCTGACTTTTGTGACTCCTACCCTACTGGTAAGTGTGAATATTTCTTCATTGAAAATTAAGACTTTTCAAAAATAAGCCTGGACTTGGAGAACCATAGATGCCTAATATAAAAAGAAAACCTGATTGTGAGAAGACTTGTATGAGCCCCCAATAAAGTGATTGAAAAAAACAAAACATTTTCTCTTACTCATTAACATTTTCATTTCCAGTTTCACTCTTACTTGTGGTTTCCATCATCTCATCTTTTGAAAGAACTAATTAGCCATTTGTGGGGCGGGAATATTATGTTCAAGCCGTTGGGGGATTTGGAGAGGGGAAGAGGCTATGCAACAGTCAGTCAGTCAGTCCGTCCTGAAGTCTGTTTCTGGCCAAAGAAACGTAAGACTTGCGCACTCGGCCCCATTACCAGTTGCTCTGGAATCCGTGCTGACTCCTGGCAGGCAGGCGGTGGATGGGTGAGTCAAGCTGTGCTCCGCAGGGAGTTTCCTGGCCCATGTTTGGAAGCAGAGGTCTAGGTCTGTCTGCCAAAGCACTTCTGGGTAGACACAAACCTCCAACTTCTGATTAGCAGCCAGGCCTGTGGACTATTTGCATCACCCAGGGACTTCACATTTCCATACAAGTCCTGGTAAAACAACAAAAAACCTTAGTGTGTCACAGAGAGAAAAGAATGACACAATAACCAAAAACCACCCAAACCCACTGCGCTCAAGTGTCGGAGACTAATCTTTACAACAGCAGACCGCCTTATCTTTCCCAGTGAGGGGCTGGCAAATTTGATCGAGTGACCTTTCAGTTAGATGCTTAACCCACACTTTTTCTTTTTTTTTAAAAATTTTTGGGTGTTCATAGAACTATCACAATCCATCCATCCATCCATTGTGTCATGCACATTTGTACATTTGTTGCCATCATTTTCAAAACATTTTCTTTCTACTTGAGCCCTTGGTATCAGCTTCTCATTACACCCCCTCTTCCTACCCTCCCTCCCTCATGAAGCCTTGATAATTTATAAATTATTATTTTTCATGTCTTACACTGACCAATTTCTCCCTTCACCCACTTTTCTGTTGTCCTTCCCCCTGGGAGGGCGTTGTAGGTAGATTATGGGGATCGGTTCCCCCCCACCCCCATGGCTATTCTCAGTATTGGTCCTGAGGGGCTTATATGTCCTGGATTCTCTGTGTTTCCACACAGCACTTACTGTATATGCCTTTGTATATTACTTTTAAGTACTTGCTAGAACCAGGTTCACAGCTAAGTAAACAAAATAAACTACGGGAGACTTAGGAAACCATAAACTTAAATATATTGCGGGCAATAAGAGAAAGAAATGAAAATTAGAGATAGATAACCCAATGGTAGAAAAATTCCCCAGGGTTAACCAGAGAACTGTGTTGTTTTTTTCAGTCCTGGTTTGTTTGTTATAAATCATTATATTGGGGGCTCTTACAACTTTAAAAACAATCCACATATCATGTTATCTCCTTTGAATTGCTTGAAACACAGTAGGTCACTGACGTTCAGTTACTAGACTTGAAAGAAGTCGTCCTTTAGGTAAAGTTTAATTGAATTACTGAAATACTAAGCCAGTTTTCTCTTGTGTTTTTGTTTAAGGCTGGTGACAAGTCACTCTCCAATGTAAGTGAAGGCTTTTTACTATGGTCTTACTCTCAAGAAGTATTAAATCAGTTGATTTGAAAATATTCGTTGCATTGTTATGTTGATGATATGGTGAAAGAACATGATTTGGGGTTTCTTGTGAAATATCACTGTAAACACTTTATTGTTGATCTTTCCATGTTTGTGAATTTTTTTCCAGTGGAACTTTACATGGCAGACTGTTAGTCAGTGTCTGTAGTTCTAAACCGCCAGCCACTCTACAGGAGAACAGGGAAACTTCTCTTCCTGTGAAGAGTCACACAGTCTTAGAAATCCGCAGGGGCAGTTCTACCGTGTCCTGTTATGAGTTGGAATTGCCGCAGTGGCAGTGAGTTTGGTTTGAGGAAGTGATTTTTTATTATTTTAACTAAGCCGTACATTTTTGTCTTGACTAAGTTATAGTTATATAAACTATATTTAGCTAAGCTGAGTAATTACAGAATATCTTAAAAAAAAACAAACGGAAAAATAACCTTACTGTCATCTAATCAATTCCAACTCATAGTGACCCTATAGGACTGTGTGTTTCTAAGACTAACATTTTTCCAGGAGTAGAAAGCTGGTCACAGTGCTGACCTTGTAGTTAACAGCCCAACATGGAGCCTGCAAGGCTCCCAGGGCCCCTCTCCTGAGTGTCACAGCTAATGTTTTAAAAAATTGAGTAACAATGGAGTTGAAAGAACAGAATGCTAAAGAATGAGTTGTTTTAAGTTACGGTAATAGGTGGTCCCAATAGTCACTCTTACTTATTTCCTTGAGGTTATCGCACATGAAATCTCTCACAGCTGGACAGGGAATCTAGTGACCAACAGAACTTGGGATCACTTTTGGTAAGTTGCTCTTTTCCCCCTCATCCCTTTAATGGTTATTGTTATTGTTGCTAGGTTTTTTCCCATGTCTCCTTCCACTCCTAATTGTGCATATCTGGCTAGTCTGTGTTATCAGGGTAGACAGCTTTTTAAAAATACCATCACACTTGTCATAGAGTTATGACCCTGGTAAGTGCTCAGTTCATACTGGCTACTTGTTGCAGGCACATTTTCACACAATGAGAAAAAAGACCCAAAGCCACGACCATCTAGCCAATTCCAGTTGAGTTTAGGCACAGAGAACAACTTCCTCTGAGTTTGAACTGCTGACCTTGTGGTGCACAGTGCAATGTTTGCCTGACGGTGCTGTAGACACATAAAACCCGAAGCCTAGTTCATTTTCCTTGCTGCCCTCTGCTGGGCTGGCCTCCCCATCGTTCTGAACTAGCTGTAGGGGGACCGCATGGGCAACCCGCGTGGACTGGTGGTCAAGCTTTACAAATGCTTTAATCTTTAGGAAAGCCCCCAGGAAAATGCCTGTTGAGTAAGATGCCACTTCCCCTTCTCTGTGTCACTGTTGGGAGCCTTTTCTCCCTCTAGGTTAAATGAAGGACATACGGTGTACTTGGAACGCCATATTTGCGGACGATTGTTTGGGGAGAAGTTCAGACATTTCCATGCCCTCGGAGGATGGGGAGAACTACAGAACACAGTAAATAAGTCATATGTTTTTTAAGCCTTCATCTCAAATTCATACATGTTTTTAAAAGTTAATTTGTGAAGCATCTTTACAAAGTAACAAGCAAGTAATTTTTGACTGGTGAAACAGAAGCAGATACTGGTATGATGTCAATGTGATTTGTATTTCCCAAGTAGGATCATGATCATTTTGCTACTAATATCGCTGCCTCTTATTAGACAAGAAATACCGGGGAGCATTATGATAAGTAGCCGGTCCATCGACAGACGTCCAGAAGTGTCTGCTGGTGGTTTCCAGGCTTTAAAGTGTGCCAGTCTAGACTCCACAGAAAGTTACTCAGGGAGTGACGTCATGCTTGCTTACTTGTTGCCTAGTGAGGCCAGTCTTCCCATCTGAACATTCTTCCACCTCTGTGTTGTGCAGATAAAGACTTTTGGGGACACACATCCTTTCACCAAACTTGTGGTTGATCTGAAGGACGTGGACCCTGACGTGGCCTATTCGTCAATTCCCTACGAAAAGGGCTTTGCTTTGCTCTTCTACCTGGAGCAACTTCTTGGAGGGCCAGGCAAGTGGTTGCCATTCTCAGATTTGTTTTCTCCTCTTTCAGAGTAATAGAATAAGGGAAAGATTTAAAGCTGCTTTTTGTGATGTTGTTCCCCGCCCCCCTTCATTTCTTCTGATTGTGGCTGCAAAAGAAACCTTAAAGTGGAGCCTAAGTGTTAAATTGGTGCTGTTTAACATAAAAAGAAAAAAATCTTACCTATATTTTCAAAATCAAAACAGTAGCCCGTGCTTCCTAAAATTAAGCATAAGTGTGTAGCAGAGAACTGTATGGGTGACAATTGAAGGGCAGGGCTCAGCCCTGTTCTGTTCCCCAGGGGTAACCACTGTCGACTGTGTGCTGTGTGTGGCTCCAGACTTTTCCCACGTGGAACAGACAAATACATATGCTTGGGTCATATTTCCATTACGAAACAAAGTCCTGCTGTATGTGTTCTGCGTTTTGTACTTAGACTGCACAGGTTTTCACATATGTCCGTCCTTGTCAGTCTATGTGCTCTGCTTACTATTTTTAAATCCCAGCTAAGTATTATCATGATTTGAATAAAAACCCAATGCCATCCAGTCAGTGAGCCTCATAGTGACTCGCTCTTTACCGTTTCTAAGACTGTAAACCTTTATGGGAGCAGACAGCTTCATTATTCTCCAACAGCTGATGGGGTTGAACCTCTGACTTTGTGGCTAGCAGTCCAGTTCTTAACCTACAACACCATCAGGGATCCTATTACCCTATTAAATGAATCCAACCCAAAAAACAAACTCCATGAATTCCAAAATAATAGCAATTCTATTGGACAGGGTAGAACTGCCCCTGTGGATTTCCAAGATTGTAACTCCTTTATGGGAGTAGAAAGTCTCGGCTTTCTCCTGCAGGGTCCCTGGTGGTATTGAACCGCTGACCTTGTGTTTAGCAGCCCAGTGCGACGACGTAATCTGCCAGTACTGATGGGCCTTTTTAGTGTTCTCTTTTGTTGTTAGCAGATCTTCTGTGAACTGGGCGTATTCCTTCTAGTCCTTGTTTCCAGAATTTCTGTTGTTCATTTCTTTTCTCTGTCTTCATCTCTGTCATCTTCCTTCTATCAAATTGCTTAGGTTTTAAACTCCCACTTTCCATCTTGCCTCCTGCTTGTACATTGCCTTCACTTGTGGAGCTTGGCGGCTTTCCTCTTCGAATGGTCTCTGCGCTCTATCCTTAGTAGCTCACTGCCAGCTACAGAAATGCCTTTCCAGTAATTGTTTTTTCTTGCTTACTACTTTTAGAGGTTTTCCTGGGATTCTTAAAGGCGTATGTGAGGAAATTTTCTTACCAGAGCATAACCACTGATGACTGGAAGGGGTTCCTCTACTCCTACTTCACAGACAAGGTGAGATGTTAGGGACTTCTTAATTTCTCAAGCCTGTACAGCTTGATTTATTGACTTGTTTGGCTGGTTTGGAATATTTAAAAGTGGAGTATAATCTTTGCTTTAAGACTCAATCCCATGATATTTTTCCTGTATAAAAA